ATGGCAGAAGCAAAGAGATACAAACAAAATACAAGGCCGCGCTGTTCCCCCGTGACCGATGAGACTCGGTGTCCTTGTTTGGCTGTTTGATTTGTCCACCGCTCAGAACTATATTTTCCGCTTCTGAGCACCTCCTCCCCAGAGTTGCTCGCTTGTCTAAAAAATATCGTCTCAAAGCTTTTTTAGTTTGGCCGATCCAAAGAGTCGGCCACCATAAAATGAGAGAAGAAGAGTCCTCTTGTTGAGTGTGCGTGGAATGCCGCATGTTATGTAACTTGCCTCTCATTATCGCCCTACATATACAGCCCCCTACTCTTTCATCCCCATTTCTTTACCCAGTTGTCAAATTTCCCACCTGGCTAAACAAAAAAACACTATGGCCTGGACATGTTAAGCGGAGGGGCTTAACATTGCGGCACAAATAAACTAAGACAATGGAGAAAGGTACAGTGCACTCTTAAATGGACATTTCCCTTTGGAATCTCTACCAGTCAGCACAGTTCACCCTGTTGAAGGAGGTGTTCTCGTGCTCGTCATATTGTTTCGAAGAAGAAAGTTTTTCATCATCTGAAAGCGCAAACGACCTTGTGTGTCTTAGCAACTGGCTCGTTGCAGAGGAGCAGGGAAATGGATAAAAAAAGTGCACATTAAAAGTTAATTTTGTCATTGTGACTGAGGCTCAAAGGTAATCCGTTTTTTACAGAGTAAAATGTCCTTATTTTGTGCTCGACGAACATTGACTGTTCATGCTGTTCCCTGATGTTACCGTGAACATGCCGGACTTTTTCTGCCCTTAAAATAATCACATTACTAAGACTGTAATAAATATAATAAAGAATTGAGTATGTGCACTGAAAGAGAGGCATATTAAAAGTGTTGCTCGTTTGAGCCACTAAGAGAGGCTGCTGGATCGTCTGATGATTAAAAAATGTTTTTTCATACACTCGACGTCTTCATATTTGTGAGTTTCAAGTCAAATATCTCAACAAATCAGGCAGAAGTTGTGTACCGACAGAACTGGATGGATTTTCTGACTTCCTAACCTCAGGCGAACAGACGCTGGCAAGCAAAGACCAACACTCTATTATCTGTGACCCACACACTTCAACCCTCGAGTAGATGATGGGAGGACGTCGTGCACACGCAGCCCTGAAGCAATCATCCAGAAACAACAACACAAAAACAGTTGTGTTTATCACGCTCCATTCGACACACGTACATTTTTCATCAGTTTTTGTTTTGCGAGGGCTGATATTGAGGCTTTTGTGTGTGAGGTTCAGTTCCCCTGTAATATGGTATTATTGTGCGATGCTCCTGGTAAATGGCGTGAAGGGCTGCGGCACGCCGGATGAATAACTACACTGGGTCTTCATGGCCATGTGACATTCAAGTTGATATTTTAAAGCGCGAATAAGACCCAAATAATAATCATTAACACACAACATTTCAAGTACAGTCTTACTACACACAAACATTTACACCAACACAACCCAGGATGCAGATATAGACATAAAGCCAGTATAGTTTACAAACACACTTGAATGTATAGACTAACTTTCCATACAAAGTAAGCCTGAAGTTTACTCAGTCAGTCGTCTTGTGTTCCTGTCCATTTATGTACACACAAAATAACTCAACATTGTTCATCACTGCATGTCTGTCAGGGATGCGTGGGGAAGGCAGGACTCAAATGCAGAGTTTAACGCAAAAACGACTTTAATAGTCAAAATAAGAAGCAAAGCAAAGGCCAACGGGCAAAAACACACACAGGAACTGGGGGCAAAAAGGCAGGCAGGAACGAGAGCCATCCAGGACGATTGACAGGGACATCTGTGACAAGAGACAATGGCGCCACCAGTGACAAACAACACACACGGCTTAAATACACAAGGGAGGTGCAGGTGATTGGACACAGGTGGAAACTATCCGACAATCACAGGGGATGACAGGACCAGGCAGGAAGTGAAGCTACCCGGGGACACGAGTGGCAGAAAACTACAAAATAAGACAGGAAGTGCACCACACTGTTGGTTGTTGTTATGCACCCGCCATCACTCCTCACTCCAACAGTGTAATGTTTTATCTGCACGAGACTAGCAGTGTTTCTCTTTAAAACAAAAGTATCAGTAACGACTCTGCGTGTCCCGGAACTGCATGAAATCATATGTAAAAATGTACTTTTACCAGATTCTCGAGGACAGGACAACCCAGATGAGTCACGGTTGGGCTTTGATGAATAATTATGTTGAAACAACAATGAGGTGTCAGCTCGGCTCACACAGTTCAGTGGGAGTAAGAATACTGAGAAGGACAAACTGTCCAGAAAGGGATGTGGCTAGCGGGCTAATATTTATCATCCTCATCCATCTCGCTGTCCGCTGAGCCCTCCATGCGCCTGCAACCCAGACACAGCAGGGCTCATACACACATACTGGTCAGAGATATTTAATACAGCTCATAACGAGCCAGAAATAACATTAATGGTTGATAATATGCAACGATCACAATGAAAGATTTGAATAGCTCCCTTTTTAATCGACCTCAACATCTCCCATCACGCTTCCTCCCGTCTCCTTATGTGACTGATCAATACAACAACAATGCCTGAGTCCACACACGGGAGTGTGTGTGTGTGTGTGTGTGTGTGCGTGCGCCAGTCTGTGTTAAAGTCCTCTTTGATTGCAGGTCTGCGGTGTACTGAGCTCTTGTGGGAATCACTAACCAGGTACACAATGTGCCAAATTAGTTTGCCTTTCTGGGACGTCTGATTCCACATTGGTAATTCCCCTCGTGTATTTTAAAATGCCTCCGTTAGACAGCAACATCAACAGTGTTGCTGTCCTGAGTCAGACGACAAACTTTTGTGCGTGTCAGAAATGTTACATTTGATTAGGACGTCCGGCCGTCCGTGTTTCTCTAAAAGTCAAACTGAAATGAGATTCCATCCAGACTTTTTTACTGTTTTTTACATCAGCCTCCCTCATTCATTACATTGTAGGAGGTTGTGGGTTGTTTGTATGTGTCCTATCGGTTATTTGCTTGCTATGCATGAGTTTTGGACTTTCTGCTCTTCTCAAATGCTTTCAAACAAACCCCAGAGCCGGAACAGAAGGTTTTCTGTTCCAGCAGAAATGTGTTCTTAAAGAGGAAGTTGATGTGGGAACATTGTAGCGTGTCTGTGATTATACACCTCAGAGCACTGACAGCGTTGTATTCCGCTCTGGTGGACGGTCAGTTGTGTGTCTCCTATGATGGATTTCTTCATTTATGATTGTTGTCGGAGCGTACAGCATTTCTTTCTCTAAATCTCTCTCATATATCTACTATATAGTGTTGCACTTTGGTGTCTGAGGGAGTGGGGTTATAAGGGGTCGGTGTAGTTCACTGTGTTATTACGTTGATTCTCCAATTTCAGTTAACACTGTGACCCTGTTTAGAGGCCATAGAAATACACATAACAACCAGAATACACTACATATAAATTCTAATTGGTATACATCACTTGAAATCAATATATATATTCAATTCTATTCCTAAAAACACTGAGGTATTCCTTGAATGTGAAGCTTCTTTGAAGTATTTCCTTTCTCTCCGTGCTCCTGTCTGGTGGATGAAAATGTTCTGAACTGTCAACACGTTAATAGAATGTTCATCAAATTCATTTTAATGTTGTCTTACAGAATGCGGCTGCCATTTGCTGTGTGTGTATGTGCACTAGAAGAGAGGCGCTTTCCTCCTGTACATGCCCCGTGCTGCTGACAGGCGGGCTGTCAGGGGGCAGCAGAGGGAAACGGCCTTTGGGGAGCATCCAATGTGCTAACAAGTCCAATCTGCCATCTGGAGTCTAAACTCAGCTGTCTCTCCATCTCTTTCCTACAGCTGCACACTACCTGGGGACGGTCCCACGCCAAAGAAGATATTAAACACCAATACATTTTAGATTATATTTCATTAATGATTCCTGAATTCACCACTATTCTATCCATCCATTATCTTTATTTAAGTGTCCCATAACATGTCATCCTAAAGAATGGCACAAAACGTTTTAACATACGTACACATTAGACTTTTTAATGCATTTTTAAATTTGCTTTATAATCACAATTTTAGAACCTTTTTCGAGAGCCGATACGAGGACTTTTTCACGACTTTGCTCAACAAACTACACTATTATTTCTTAATGAAACTTTGCAAAAATGGGAGCTCGGCTAGAATGTATTTGAAATCCATCCCCAGGCAAACAAACAGAGAGTCATCGTTAAACAAAGAGGTCAACGTTTGGGTCGGTTAAGATCATATTTGATTGTATGAAGCACGCAGCTAAGACTCAGCCAGAGGGATGTTCCCCGTTTGGTGTGTGTGGGCTGAAGCATTGACTCTGCCAGATCATTAGTGCATTCGCTTTGTAAAACACTTCATTAGTTAGATGCTCGGATGGGAAGCCAATTAAGTTTCCACTTGAAAGTCAGTTGAAAGTCGGTTTTCACTTCCATGATGACTGATCTCAGACACCTGGATTTGTGTAAAGCTCTTGGAGGGGTGGACGTAATCACCAGGACATCAACCGTTGGTTGGTGAACTGCTGTTTTTGAGGCCACGTGATCAGTATTTTAGCAGTTGTCTTCTTTTTTTTAGAATGAGTGAGAAGTGACATGAGAGGGGCGAGCTAAACATTATGATTTTAGGAGAACGAAAATGTTATAGTTAACTTTCCCAAACTGAAAACACACTGTTAAAAGGGTTAAAGTTCCAAGATGAAACTTTGACAACTTCCAGACCAGACAATGAGTTGGTAGCGATCTGTCAATCACAAGGAAGCCACATTTCAAATCCAACCATAGTTTACTGAATGAAAAAAAATAATAATAATGATCACAGTAAAAATAATACTAATCAATTCTTTAACAGGGGATCATTCAAAATTGGTTTGACTTCTTATTTCACCTGTATTTTAAATCCAGTTGAATGCTAAAAATGATGAAAAAAAGACCATACATTGGTTTTTATAGTGGTCCAATCCATTACAAGTTTATTCAGACATTTTATTTCCAAAGGATTCAGCAAAAATCACAATGTATCTCAGCCTCACGCTTGCAGCAGAAGGAAAAGCTGCTTGTCACTTACAATGCAGAATGTATTGGTTGATTTGATTGGTGGAGGTATGGAAGCTAAGCAGAGCTCGTGTAATCTGTAGTCATGAATGCTAATGTTGCTGCTGGCTGCTTGCTCTTCTGTGCTCCGGACTCTGATACGTTTCAATGATGTGTTCTGGGACTGAGGAATACAGAGGAAATCAGGGAGATACGACTTTTAAATACAGTTTATACACTTTCCTTTCAGCTTGGGCATGTTTCCCAAAATCCATGAATAGACTTTCTTGTTCCAGTTATTCCAAAACTTTGTCTACTCAAATGGCACATCCCATTATGCATATCCTTTTGGGTTATGCATAAATACATATTATGGACTTAATGAGAAACAAAAATTGCTAAAACAGAACTGCATGAAAAACATTATAGGATACAGAAACCTTTCACGAATCATTCAGTTCTGAAAGGAACACAGAGGAAAATTGTGAGTTGAAAATTTGTTGTTCTGAATATATTCAGAACAACAAATATTGTTTTTTAACTGATGACACAATTAAACATTGTTAAATACGAGACCATTTTTGTGATCTCTTTTGTTTTGGTGCGTTTGAAAAGGCAACAATCCTGACGGTCTTGTAAATGAGCTTTAATTAATAACCCTTTTCTTTTGAACCAGTGGCCTTAGGGCATTTTGTCCATAGAAACCATATAGACTTGTTATTCACTTAACAGCAAAAAGTCTGTGAAATATTGTGTGTTTGCATCCACAGCAGGGGTCAAAGTCTTGCTGCATACAACACCTGGTGCTGGATCACACCTTAAATTCTCCGCGAGGCTTCTTTACACCTCACTCCCTGAAAGATTATGGCCCCATGGTGATTGAAACCCCTAATAGTTTGAGCACACATCTGGAAATATGTGTTCAGTCACAAAGGCCAGTAACCTTCATGCGGATTACTGCTCCCTTCTCAACTCTGCTCCCATCTCGCCCTCTTTGTTCTTCCTCTGACCTCATTATGAAGTTGCTTTCTTTCTTTCGTGCTCTCTCTCAAAATGACAGCTTCATCTGCCGTCTGTGCAATATCTATGAGTTCATAACACTATGGTGCATTTTCTGTTCGTCTGATGAAGGTATTTGGGGCACCTTCAGTCCTTTCAGCAAAATGGAGATCTGTGGCAAAAACAAAGATGTGAATTACACCGTGCCGATTATTTCTCCTGAACTTCGAGTGTGATAAAAAAAGCTTCTCCGTAGTACCTCGGGGATTGGTTAAAAGCCCCAGCAAGCTATTATCCCGTATTGGGCCCCAAAGGGAAATCCTGGGACAATCGACAGGATTTGGACCACACTCACTCTATTTAACATGTTAATCCACTGGATTTGATGATAGTTGGGAATTGCCTTTTTTTTTGCTTCTCTCTGAAATGGAAATGGAGGTCTTTGTTAGAAACGGGGTAATTGTTTCTCATGGTAAGTGCAAACTAACTAAACCGGATTTGTACTTTGTTCATCATGCAGACCGAGTGTGTGTATTGAGTGTACAAATGCCTGAAAACATTTCTAGCAACCGTAACATCCCACTGTGGTTGTTTCTGATGACCTCTGACATCTTTCCCTCTAAGCAAACCCTTCAAATATATTCAGTTTCTAATGATCTGTAAATGCAGCTTGAAATAAGCCAAGTTAAAATACTTTCCAATGTGATGAGGAAAAAAGCAGAAGGTTGATTGTGCTAATGGCTGCGTTGATATCAGTTTTTAATGTTTCTGCCAAGCACCATAGAAAAATATACCTAGAGGAAGGTTACCAAGTTAGCAGGGATAAACGGGTCAAAAGAAAGTAAGGGGGAGGGGAGAAAGGCAGTTTTGTTGTCCTTTGCAGTCAATTAAATAGAGAAGGCAACAAAGAAATTTTAGTTGCTGGATGGAAACCAATGGGGGAGCTTACTGTTCTGCGGACCATGAATAAATCTTCTTATAAATGATAGGGCTGTCCCTCCTGCGACAGGTGGACACGTGGACAGGTTCATTCTCCATACCGGACGCCTCACAGGATCTAACCCCATCTGAACGCCACGCAGAGTGATTTCTCCCTCCCCATAAAAGTCATTACGTCTTCCACATCAGATTTCGTGCCGTGTCTCCGGTCGGTAAGTGCAGCGAAGCAGATGGAATATTGATCTCGCCCATTTCCTCAACCCCCCCCGCCCCCTCCCCCTCCCTCGATTTCACTTCCACGTGCACTCATATGCGCCTGTTCTTCACCTCGTCTCCTATCTCTTATTCAGACCAACCCAACACCTCCTTGGTCATCTCTTCACCGAGGAAGGTAATGAGCCCCTCTGAGCATTGAGCGGTTTCCATGGTGCTTCGTGGGGGGGCTTTCTACCCCATCACATTCAGGCGTTCAGGTATTTCATTAAATGTCTTGCTCCAAAGCTTGATGAATAAGAAAGATATTCCACACCACCGCTTGTGAATTGATTAATATTTCAACCTGAAGGTACTTTTTCACAATGTTCACAGAACCTGGTTCCTTTGAGCTACATGCAAATTCAATTATTTAAATCATGCAGTAGACAAATATCATAGTGTAGTATGTAAAGCAGCCAGGCAATTGAGTTTGGAGCAGATTAAATGGTTATAATTGAAATAGAAGCAGCAGTTACGGAGTTTCCCATCTAGATGTATTTAAGGGAGTGCTGAGGTTTGGGTGCTATATGTTTTTGGGGGGTTGTTCTGTTGTTTTTTGGGCGTCTTCTTTATTTATCTAAGAAAACAACACAGGCTGACTTTGTCTACAGTGTTATGCCCGTTAACCTTTTTTCAACTGAAAGTCACCCCCGACTCGCCGAAGACCACACTGTGAGACGAGACGAGAGGAAGGCAGAGAAACAACTCAATGAATAAGAGGTGGGATGCTGAGAGCTGTTTCAACGCTCACACTCTGGACTGAACCTGGTGGCCTCGATGAAGTTCTCACGACTCCCAGCCCACTCAGAATCTAAGATTAGAATGAAACAAATCCCTCACAAGTACAGACTACACACACACACACACACACACACACACACACACACACACACACACACACACACACACACACAACCTACCTACGAGCTAACACCTTCATCCAATCACAACAAGATCCCGCTGTTACCCTATGATGTCATAGAAGAATATCTGGGGAATTGTTGTGTAACAGAGATGAAAAGTTGTCTGTGGTGGAAAGCAAAACCCTGACGACGGATATGATGCAGGAGGAGAAAATTGAAGCTGTTTTCCAACTTGAAATTGCAAATGCACAAAGATGCACAAAGATGGTCATCCATCGAGGTCTGTGTCCGGTGTCCATTCACACACCTCGGTGGGCAAAATGATCAACTGTTTACATTTTGCTTGTTTAAACACGTCTCTGTCATTGTTAACCCATTGACCATAGCATCAATTGTAACAGACTTATCGGACACTTATTTTGAAATAGCCAACAAATGTCCCAGAGCGCAAATGAAGCTGTGAAGAAAAAGGTTGACGTGTGTTCTATGTCCCCATGGGGTTAAAAGCAGCACACAGGAGAACGGCACTCTCTGCAAAACAGAGGGCAAAGAATTTCCACTCAGATATGGAACCCGGCACAAGCACATTTTAATGCTAATGTCCCTCATTAACATAAGTCGTGCACATATTCTCCACAGAAATGAAAACCACAGATTTTGCAAGAGCAAAAGCAGAGATCCTTGGTCAAACAAACTCACCGCAGGTCTTTTGTATGCAGGCACGATTATCTGCATGATTGATCATGTAGAATTGATTGATCATGTGTTGTTGCTGTGCTATTCCCTCTCTAGAGTTTCATTGACAAACCTGTGACATCTTGAAGGTTGCTGTGTAAATCGAACGTGCTTTGAGCTGTTCGGTAAAAGGGAAGCCCATCGGTTGATATAGTTTTGCCCATTGCCGTCTTTAGAGTGTGGTGAAATTGTCTCGGCATTTGGTAGCCGTTACGAAGGCAGATGAGGACAAACAGTGGTCGCAGTAGCAGCTTTCTAGGGTGAACACACCTTGTTTCCATTCTTGCTTTTGAATGTGTGCAGAACTGTGTTTGTTCAGCGTGTTTACTGTAAGTTCCAGGCGACAATCAATGGTAACGTGTTTATTTTTCCTCCCTTTACCTCCCTTTCTCTCTTTCAGTCTCCACCACTTTGGTTGATACCTGCTACAGTTGTCAGTTTCCATGGAAACCCTGTACCAGCCTGTTAAACTGGCAAAGAGGTTAATGAAGGGAAACATGGCCCACCTGGTCAGGGACAGTGAACACTCAGCTTTGGCAGTAATAATATCAGATAGTACCAACAAACACAAACAAAATGCATTTAGCATTCTAGTCAGCTGTTGGGTTCAGGCAAATGTTATTTTAAATGTTCAACATATTCAATGTTCATAAGATTCATTTTATTTGTTATTTTGTTTTATATTATTAAATGTAGTCCTTTATTTATTTATGTTGTATTCAGTCATTAATTTCCTTATGTCTTTATTTAATTTACAGGGATAATTTACAGCTCTCTAGCTGTAGCAGACTTGGCCTGAAGTTCATCCAGGTTTGCATGCATGAAAACCGTCTAAATAGCATTGACATAGATGCATCCGTGCTGATTTGTTTCTTTAGAGTTCTTGTAGCCTGCATTCCTGCCAGTTTTGAGATTTTGGCAGGCAGCGAGGTAAGCCTGTCAAAATAAATCAAAATGTCTCTCTCTCTGTAACTTCAGTTTCGCATGATTGGCTTGCCCGCCCTCTTTGCCCTGCGTTGCCCTTGCTACATCCTCACCACTTAACAGCCCATGAAGAAGTAGCTTAGTGTGAAAATCAATGAAGGCGGCAGTTTGGCATCCGTCCTGTTTTGTTCTGCTACCTCAGGCAAAAACATCAGTTCAGAAAAGGATAAGCCTCTCCTATAAGACCTTTGCTATTTGGATCATGTCCTGCAGTTGGGTTGATTATCGTAGGGCAATATTACAAGGTACTTAATGTCACCAGTTAATGCCGCAAACTTTATGTTGTAACCCTTTTATGCTTTATAGCTTTTCTCCAGTATTTAATTAAATTAATAGGCCTGTCAATGACAAGGATTGATGTGTGTGTGTGTGATGTTACATTTAGTGACAAGTTGTCTCTCCAGGCTATTGTCAATATATCAGTTCTGGCACTCGGGTGCAAGGAGCAGAGAAACCAGTCTGCTTGTTCTTGTTTTTCTGTAAGATTTGTATGTCCAATAGAGCTGTTCCTAAACCACAAAAGAGAGGAAGAGTATTTACATCCGGCAACGCCGCATGTTCTCAAGGATCCGGAATCATTGACAGGAACTGTAGTAGCCCGGAAAAATGTAACACAATCCCACATATCTGTCAAGTTAAAACCAATAATTTATAGAAACTGACGTTTGTAGGAAATTGTTCCCAACATGTGAGACGTTGGAGAAAAAAATAATAGAAGCAAACACACGCCCTAACGCGCACTGACTGTCAGTCTGCGTGTCCTTAAGCATCAATCAAGAAAGACAATCAAATCTCAGAAGCAAACATCTTTTAACTGTGGATTCAAAATAAAAAAAGGGGGGTTTTGAGAGCATCAGTTGTGTGTGTATATTTATGTGCGTCCATGCATGTGCACCAGCTGATGACATTTAGTTCTGAGGTCTTAATCCATCTGGAAAGCTCCGCGGGGCTTCTGCAAAGAGAAGTAGGCCTGATTGATCACGTCTCGTACGTTCTTCTCCGGAAGGAAGGTCAGAATGACCTGGTACGGCCAATTCAACCTCTGCAGTCTAATTGACTCTTCTGGCAAGTCTGTAACTAAAATGTCCTGCATGTGTCTTGTTCAGATGGGTCATGCTGACAAAACTTTTTTACCGTAGTACCAATTTATTCATAAAATACTTTTATCGATGAATCCATTTTCACCTAATGTTTAATCCACAAAACAAAAAACCTGCAAAAAAAATAAATGTGAGTCTATTTGTCTATTTCCATCCCATATCATTTTTTTTTTGCTGATTTGGAGACTTGAAGTTGTCAATTTAAATGTCTGAGTCTTGAACCCCTATTAGGAAATAAGTACTATATATCAATGTCAAATGAGTGACAGGGCCAGAACGAACCTGCTGCTGAAGTCTGTAATTTTCCTCGTTGCTCAAAAAGTACAACAAAGCAGTCAGCCAAGCAGTAATTTGGCATGGCTGACTGGATCAATTATTGGCTAAGTGCTTCACTACAAGTTTAGCAGCAGCCACCAGATGTTGGCTCCCGCCAAAAAATCGTCAAACTCCAATGTATAGTTTAAATATATGTTTGATTCCTGTATGCAGATTGAAATGTGAGGATAAACTAAGGTATCTACCTGATTTCCATGGTAACAAGCCGT